GAAAAACAAGAGAGAGAAGAAGAAAAAGAAGAAGAAGAATCGCACGATCCTGAGGGAAAAACAGAGAATGATTCGTGGATACATTTTGTACAATATATTATACACTCGTATAATAACATGAAAAAAAAAAAGACAAAATTCTCGTGTTCGATTTATTATTGGATTATTTAGCTGGGTCATCGTTTTAAGATAAGAGTCAGATAAATAAATCAATTATTAAGGGATTATCCAATACCCCGTTTTTTCGATAGCAGATACTAGGCAAAATCAGATTAAATTATCAGATCGATTTATTAAATGTTTCCCGCTTCGAACACGAATACACGCGCGATTCTTAAGAATTCTGATTCTTCCTCGTCGTCAAATACGATATTATTAATTCGAGTACGGACTAATCGTCGACGAGCGAAGACAAGACATCTATAAAATCCGTCGTAAAGCTTAAAGTATCTCAACGGGATATATATGAGGATGACGATGCAAAATGATGAAAATGATGCAAAAAGTGATGAAATGAGATAAAAAAAGTGGAGAGGGGAGGAAAAAAGAAAAGAGAAAAGAAAGGAAGAAGAAGAAAGGAAAAGGAAGAGCGGAGAAGACGAGAATGGCGGAAAGGTGGAACACGACACGAGTCGGGAGGGGAGAGGGGAGGGGAGGCAAAAGCGAAAAGAAAGAGGAGATAGAGGAAGTCCGGACAGATGTGACACTCCGGCCAAGATAGGAAGAACTGCTTACGCAAATGCCACCGTCTGGCCCTGGTGGAATGCGGTAAAAACCGACGGTGCAAACCGGCGAGAAAAAGCGTCACCATCGCGCTCAACCGTCCGGCAGATGGGTTACTTTGGTCCGGGTTCGGCACTGCTTGCATACACTTGCACGCCCGTACACGCGCGTGAACGTATACATCTGGAGGGTCGTGGAGGATTCGCTTCACGTTTTCACCGGCGACGTTTCCATTTGAGAGGCGAGGGCGGCGCGCGAAAAAATTCTGGAAACGCGTCCTCCGAAATTATTTTTTTACGAGGACGAGGCTCTGATCGAAATTTTATAACGCGACCAAGGGAAGAATAGAAGATGACGGAACACTGTTGGAATTTTCATCCTCTGTTCGATGATCCTACATCGATAATAACGCAATAATAGCGAATGAACTGTAATAAATAGTTGCAAGAGGAGAAGAGAGATCCATTTCTAAGTTATACCATATAATATCTCTTTTTCGATCAATGTTTCTCTCTCGAATTTAAAAAGAGCGATAATTTTATATGCATATTTCTTTTTTTCTCTTCTCTTGTTCTTTTCCTTCCTTTTAATTCTCCTAAATCAAATTGGAACAAATGAAAATCCGCCTTGTTGAAAAGTGTTCCGAGTTTCTCTACACGAGTTCGAGTTCCACAAGATGGATAAATCATGACGATTATCGCGAAGATGGCGAATTTTATACGAAGGAATTCAATCCTCGTCTGGGTCTGACTTGCGCCACTATTTGCCGCGGTCACGATTTGCCTCGAAGTTCAAGACAATTTAGATAGAATACGCAACGATCCGCAAGTAGCATCGAGGAGAAGGCTCGTGACAAGGGATGACAATGATGGCGATGCCGAAGATGCTTGTGGACGTGGATTAATAAAGGAAGGCCATGCCGGGGGAACAATTAGATCGAGTTAACGGCCAACTTTAATCTTCTGTCGTCCGTCAGTCGTTTACTGCGTAGCGATCTGCCGCTATTAAAGCCGTTACACACTTCACCGTTTTCAAACCCCTTCCGTCCTGCCCTGCCGCCGAATCGAAAGAAACTACGACTTTTGTGAGGCAAAAACTCGCCGCCATCGACGATGACACGGAAGAAAGATGTGGGTTTTCAAAAACGGATCTCTCTCATCCTCCTTGTCACTATCTATTCAAATCTAATAATCTCCTAATCTTCGGTGGCCGAGATCTTTTAACTTTGATATATCGCGTGAAAAAAGGAAAATACATATATATACACATAAGGGTAATCGATTAAAATGAAATCTGACAAACGAGACGAAAGAGGAATACCTCGAATCGTAAGATATAAATCATCGAATCGTTGTTCGACCACAATATTACGATTCTCGACATCGATCTTCTCTATCTCGATCAAATTCTGTCTTTTACAATACGAAAAGAATTAAACATAATTGAACAGAAATGTCTCGATAAAAGTCCGATTTCGAATGTCTTATCTCCTTCGCCGAACACAGTCGAAACAATTTATCGCATTGTCATCGTCCTCGTAGAAATAAGACCAAGATATACAATATTTCATCGAAAAATTCGATTTCCACTTTTTTTCTTCTTTTCGCTTGCTAAAAAAAAAAGAAAAAGAAAAACTTCCATCCACGAGTTAAAGAAAAGAATTACGATTCTCTCGCGCCGAATGAATAATAATCAACGATCGACGACGAGACGATCCCCGAAGATTATCTAGGTGGACGCAACGTAATGAATGGCCACGTGCACCGAGGAGTCGAGGAGGAGAGGACGATATGCTGTATGCACGAGCGTTTAACATGACAAGATGTAACTAATTCAGGGTAGGTAGAACTGAGACGCCGACCGACGTACGAGTACAAAGGAGCCGACGGAGTCCGAATCCCTGTGCTGCGCCTCTAATCTGCTCCAATTGGGACGGCAGGAGTTAGAAGGGCCGATGTCCCTCCGCGGTGTATGACGCGTGCTACCATTTATCCCAATCATCGGACGACCGGTCGGTCGTTCTTAACGATCGACAAATAAAAACTACTCGTCATCCGGGCTGAGGAGGAAGCCGAAGCGGGGCAACAGGCCGCCTATTCTACACCTTCCACCTCGGGCCCCCGCTCTTTCACGCATTAAAACACCATTAACTTTTCAATTTCCTCCCTATAAAGTATCGGACGTACCGCCCATTTTCTTTCCTTTTCTTTCTTTTCTCTCTCTCTTTATTTCTACGAACAACACTTCCGTACAGGGCTTGGATTAAAAGCGCATTCGAATAACGATTATCGAGTTTTATTGGCCGTGTTGCGATATCGTTGCGAAGGTTTAAACGTTTAATCCCGCGTTATCTTGGTTTCGTTGTAGCGATACGCGTTCTAATTAATTACCTAAAAAATTGATCGGACAACGTTGAAGAAATATTTCGATCCCTGGTATTGAATTTTCGACGAAACTTTTTGAAAAAAAAAAAAAAGAAAAAAAGAAAAAAGAAAGAAAAACAAGAAGAAGAAGAAACGCACAGGGAAAGAAGAAAATCGAGATCGATTCAAAAATCACGATTACATCGAAGGATTATATAAGACAACTCTGACCTAATCGTTCTAATCGTTTCAACGAGGGTACCCACGTACCTGAGTGACTTTTGGGCAAGGGTGGTAGACTCGTGACCTCGGTAGGGTTTCCGAAGGGTGCCCACAGTCTGGGGAACATCAGGCGAACGTTGCATCCTCCTGAAAGCAGAAAGAAACACACCGGTGTGAAATATTACGTCTATTGCCCATCCTCGAAACAAACGCACAAACACGACTCGCGTGAAATCCTGAGGAAAATATCGAGAGGAGAGGATATTTTTTTCGAATCGCTCATGCATCATTATCCGTGTCGCCGGACCAGCCGCTAACGGAGAACCAGAGAGAGAGAGAGAGAGAGAGAGAGAGGC